GCAAGCTGCTCTAGTGGAAGGGGTCCCTGCCCGTGGCAGGGGTTGGAGCTGGATGAGCTGTAAGGTCCCTCCCAACACACAGTCTGGAATCCTCTGTGATCCTCCACCAAGAGCTCTCCTCATCTCGGCACTGGCAGAATCCTGCGGGAGTGGAGCAGGGTCCCCATAGCTGCGGCAGTCTGTGGTGGCTGGCACAGGGCGTCACCCTGCAGGCGGTGGGGCAGTAGGGGCGCAGAAGCAGAGGGTGTATGAGGAATACACGGGGCTCATCTGCAGGTTCTCGTCTCCAAAGTCACCACCGAAACCACATCTCACATCTCTGCAGGACAGTGAAGGGGGGAGAAGAACACTGGTGAGATGGCTACTGGGGGCAGGAGGCTGCTGGTGCTCCGCACCCCTCCAGGCAGCACCAGCAGCAGGATTAGAGCAGAGACCTGCTGGGGGGCTCCTGTTCTCTTAGGAGGGCTCAGCGCCAGCAACAGCACCACCTCTCACTCGCCACCACCTTATCTTGGGCACTGGGGAAGGGAACAGATTCTGGGAACTGCGACTTGTGGGGCCTGCCTAGAGGGAAATGCTTCATTTGGTTTAAATCCAGTTCCCTGCTTGGGCTGTCACCCGGGGACCCCTCTGGGGAGGGAGCACAGCCTCTGCCTCAGCTTCCCCAGCAAGGAAGCTAGCAGGGAGCAGACCCCCATGGCAGGGCAGAGCTGGTGGAGATGCCAGCACAGCACCACCACCTGCCCCAGCAGGGCCTGGCCATGGGCTGGGATTCCCCCTCGGCCACCACAGACACCCTCGGGAGCAGTTCCTGCTCTGCACATGCACAAGTTTCACTTCCACAGGCACACGTCAAGTGGTGCTTATCGAGTCCAAATCCTCCCTTTTCCTCCCTCCAGATGGGATATTTCCACAGAGCTGACTTTTTGCAGGCTGGGGAATGCCACAAGGGGAAAACACACTTTTCCATCTCCTCACCGTCCCCCATAGCAAAGAGAACCCTCCGTGCAGCAGTCACAGAGATGCTGCAGGCAGGGCAGAGCCACAGGGTCTGCAAACCTTCCGAAGGTGCCAACAGCTCTGCAGATTGTGCTGTTTGGCACCTTTCTGCAGTGGAATTCCTGTCCCAGCTGAAAGCACTTGGAGAGGGATGGGGGGGACATCCAGGTGAGCCCCCAACAAAAGAAAGGACAGAAGGATCCCACCTGCAGCCAGACCCAGGCTCTAACGCTGCAGCCGGAGCCTCGCTGGCAGCAGTGCTGGGCCAGGCTCTGCCAAGCTGGAGGTGATGAAGAAGCCCCATCCCAGTGTCCTGCCCCACTGGCTCAGGGAACAGCAGGATCCGAGCTGTGTTTGTACCTTCCAGCACTTTATCCAGGTCTGCAATGAACTCATCCAGCTCCTGCGTGTCACCAAGCTTTGCTGGTGGAGAGAAACAGAGTCAGGTCTCTCCCATTCCCCAACATGAGAAAGAAAAGATCCTACCCCTTGCTTCCAAGCACAACTGCTGCAGCTGCCTGCTGTGCCTGTGCCAGCCAAGGGCTGCCTGAGGGCAGTGGGAGGGGGTTTGGGAGCTGCATCCACAACAGGGACCTGAACTGCACAGTTCAGTAGTAATCCCAGCCACACACCCCCAGGTAGCTCCACATCACCCATTCTGCTGCAGGATGCTCCTGTCTGCACACACACCTCAGAGCTGAGAATGCTATTGAAGGCAGCATGGGCAGGAGAAACCCAGGACTAACTCTGCCTGGAGACACAGCATTTCCTGCCCCAAAGCATATCCAGTAGGGCTCCACCAGCACCCCTCCTGGGGCCAGCCCATAGCCGGGGAGCTGAGACAAACGTGAGGGGGAATCCCCAGCAAACAGCCCTTCAGACAGCCTGCTCAGCCTCACCTTTGGAGGGGTAAGCACTGGCTGGGGTGTTAAGGTCCTCCTCGCTGCAGTTGAGGCTGCTTCCTGGGGACGAGCTGGTACCTGCAGTTGTGAAGCGTCAGTCACCAGCCATAGCCACAGGCACCTTATAATAAAGCTGCAGGGGCAGGGACTGATCATGCGCATGGCACACAGCCCTGGTCCACCCTCGCTCTTGCCCCATCTGCTCTGCCCCTGCTATGAGGACTACTTGGGAAAAGGAAACTGAGCTGCTCTGCCAGGTCCAACAGCACCAGAGGTTGCCTGAGCACAGCCAGGGTTATTATAATGAAGCAGCTCCCTCTGAGCTTCGGGTTATCTCAACCCTTGTGCCATTCTGCAGCAGCCAATGCAGCAGATGTTGGCAGCCCCTGGGTCAGCAACCCATGCCCACGATGGGCCAGGTGAGCAACTCGGAGGCAGGACCAGCAGGAAGCTCGGTAGTTTGCCACGGAGGTTTGCCCCAGAGCTCCCAAAGCTGCTCCATCCCGAGGGACACCATCCCCTCCAGGACGCCTCCTCGCTGCCCAGCCCTGACTCACTCTCCAGCTCATCGATGCCGCTGTCGTACACCCTGGTCCCTGCTTTCCTCTTCAGCTCCTCCAGATGCTGCTCGTACTGACGCGCGGGGCCCCTGTCAAAGTCCTCCATCACTTCATCAAACTCCCGCAGCAGGTCACAGAGCTCGTCGGCCATCGCTGGGGACGAGGTCAGCCTGAGGCAGCACCGGCACACGGCGCCCCGGGGATGCTGAGCTCGGCGGCACCGGCGGAATCCCGCGGGTCTGCGGGGAAGAGCCGATGGGGGCCGCGCTCGCACGTGGCGGGGAACAGGACACGGCCAGAAGCTGCCGCCGGAGCCCCGCGCTCCCTCCGCTCCCGGGAATGTCCCAGCAGGGGGTCCCGGTGCAGAGCCCTGCGGGAGCGGAGGGACCGGGGGGGGTGGAAGGAGACGACGGCGCAGCACTCACTGTCAGGCGCGCTCCGGTCCGGGCGGCGGCACCGCGAGCTCCGCCGATCGCGGCCGTTTTAACCCCGGGGCCGCCCCGGACGCTGGGCGGAGCGTCCCGGAGCCCCCTCCCCTGCGCACCGCAGTGCTCCCACCTATCCCCTGCCACCGTGGGTCCGGGGCGGCATCTCCCCTGTCCCCCCACGGCAGGACCAGGGATGACATCCTCCCCCCCCCCCCCCCGAACTCATCTCGTGACACCCGGGACCCGCGGAGGTGGGGACAAGGGGCCTGAGGACCTTGGTCCCGAGGAGCTGGGCGGCCTAAACCCAGCCACGGGGATCCACCCTAGGCGGGCAGCTGCCGGCAGCATCCCTCCGTCCCAGCCCTGCCTCCGCCCATTCCTTGCCTCCATCCCACCCCAGCTCCCTCCTTAGTGCTGCTGGTCCCCTGCATGGTGGGATCCCGGGCCAGGCTGGCTTCTCCCTCAGCTGGAAATGTTCTTGAGACCTTTACGATTCCTGCCAGGTGCCCTTTTCCTTCCCTGCATCACCAGCCACCAGGATGTGAAGTCCTGTAGGATGTTTCCCACTTGTCTTTGCTCTCCTTTAACTAAGCTCCACAGAACACACCATGTGTTCAAGGCCAGGTTGGACGGGGCTTGGAGCAAGATCCTCTAGTGGAAGGTGTCCCTGCCCGTGGCACGGGGCTGGAACTGGATGATCTTTAAGGTCCCTTCAACCCGAACCAGGCTGGGACTGTATGAAATACTGACGCACACCCAGCAGTGAGAGCACAGGGTGCTTTTGAGGGAGAAAAAAGCCTGTGTCCTTCTCAGGAAGCCATTCCTGGGTTCTGTTGTTGCTTCTCAGTGCTGGGCTGCCCTCACGTGGAGTTCGTAGCAATATCCCCGTTGGTAGCCAGAGCAGTTTCTAAGCCTTGTGATGTGTACAAAGACCCCACAGGGATTGTTGCATTCCCTGTAAGAATGACCGCGGGCTTCCCCACAAGCCCTCTTTTGCCCATCACCCCTCATCTTCTCCATGTGATTCCATGAAAAAGGGAGTCTCTGCCACCCTCTAAATACTGGAACATGGGGATAAGGTGCACTCTGAGCCTGCTTTTCTCCATCCCACGCAGGGAAGGCTGCCCACATCACCTGCTTTTTTCTTGGGTTCCAAATTCTTGGTGGACCTTGGAAACAGCTCCGAGAGCTCCACCACCGAGGGAACACCTCATCCTCCTCGGCACATGGCTGGTAACGGCCTCAGGCTGCCAGGACTGCCAGGAGATAAGTGTCACTGCACCACATGGGAACAGCACCACCACCGCTGGCAGTGGGCCGAGGAGCAGTCACCCTGACATGCCAGAGGCTGCCTGGGAGGAACGTGGATGGTCCCCAGAGGTGCAGCTCTTGCAGGTGGTGTAATCCTGTAGTATGTCTGCACAGAGCAGTGTGGACATGGTGCTGTTACACAGACGGTGCTCAAGTGTGTTGGTGGCCTCAAAACCTTCAGCAGGCTCATGGTACCCTGAGTTTATCCACTCCTGCAGACCCAACGGCACCACTCAGCTCCAGAGCTTATCACTGCTTGTGGGGCTCTGAGCAGATATCTCTCAGCACATGCTCCTCTGCTGTTCTCCAGCGACTGCTTCTCCACCTGCCCCAACTGTACCCATCCACAGGGAAGGGACCTTTCAAACAACTCACCCCTGAGCAGTGCTGCTGCCGTAACCCGAGAGAGGGACCACCCATCGCAGATGCTGCTGAGGCTGTGGTGGGACTCATCCTCCTCCTCTTATGAGTGGCACAGGAATGCTCCCGCATCCACCACCAACCTTCCTGATGTTACAAATGTGGCCAAAGCCATAAGGCTCCTCCAGGCATTGATCCTCCTCTCACCCTCCCACCCTCCCTCACCATCATCCTACCTGCCTGCCCTCTCTTCAACTGCATTTCTTTGGAGGCAAGATCTCAACTGAACATGACACTTTCTAACCCAAACCATTCCATCTCTGTGATTCCGCCAGATCAGCTACAAATGTACATTTGCACATCAGCCAAGAATTCCAGTGCCTGAGAAGCAGGAACAAACCAAACCAGCCATTTCACAGCCAAAGATCATGACACCATAATGTGTAAAATACATCAGAAGGTCTAACCTACTGAATATGAATTTAAGCAAAATTGAAGTTTATAGTCGTCAGAGTATACTGTGCTCTCCTGCTACACCAGCCATGTATTTTGGGGTTGATACAGTGTTTTACTATCTGTAACATTAGCAATTTTAAATAGGGTTAAAACAAAGAAGAAACCTGTGATTCAGTCTGAACGGAGCAGGCTGGGGTGTCTTTGCACCGGGGTTGCTGTTCCTGTAGCTCCATGGGCATTCCTCCAGCTCCAGGAGAGCTTTCTCTCCACACAACAGCACGTGGTAAGTGATATCCCAAACCCCCAGCTGCATTTTCCATCCTCACTGCCCTGCTAACATTCCCCATCCACTCAGTGTCAGGACAGTATCCTCCTCGTCTGCACAGCGGGGCTCGGCCCCAAGCTATTGCTCCCCCATCCCTGTAAGCCGCCAGCCTGACCAGTGCCTGGAACTACACCAGATGGGATCAGTTTTGGACCTCCAGGTCGCATCCCCCAGTCTGTCAGACACCAGCCTGCTGCTCTCCAGCCTGCATGCCATTGGGTTGTCCGCTGGTGGCAAAGGGGCTCCAGCAGGTGCTCATGCTCCTGTCACAGCTCCACTCCTCTGACGTGGCACAGAGGACGTGGCTCATGCAGTAGGGTTGCCCAGCTGCCCAGTCCTGTCCGCAGTGCAGAGGGGCTGGCCCAGCACTGCTAGATGCCAACGTCCAGGTTTAGGAATGAGATGCTGCTGTACAGCTCCGCTGAGAGAGAGCTGTTCTCCAGGCTGCGGGTGCACTCTGGCAGCAGGGATGGAGCGTGCTCCTCTCTTGAATCCTCACTCTCTGTGCTCCTAAAAGTGAAAAGAGAGAGATGTGCTATTTGCAGACTGCTTCCATTGCCAGTTTCACACCCACACAGCCTCTAGCAGTGACTCCAAAGATTTGCCATCTCTTCAGACAGTCCCAAAAGGGATGTGAGGACAGACAAGCAGCAGGAGCATAAGGTAACCTTACAGTTCTTAAGGTCTGTGCTCTGGGAACCTACTTTGTACAGGACAGTCCATGTCAGCTGAAGGAGTCACCAGCTCTACAAGGAGACTCAAGACTGCTAAGCTGCCCTGCTTCATGCCGTAGGGGAGCAAAACACCTCCTCTGTTACATGCCATGATCATGGGCTCAGATCATGGGACATGAGACCCTTTTACTCCACCTTCTTTACTCACAGGGAAGGGCATGAGCTCAAACTCTGAGCCTCTCTGGGACTTCCCTATCTCACAGCCAAAAAGCAGAGGTACAGACCTAGCTGGCAGTCACACACAGACCCGTGCTCACAAGACAGGCAGAAAGTGTACAGGAGTTCAGACAGCACCAAGGGTGAGGAAAACCTGGAGAAGGCTGTTGATGGAGCCAATAATGGAGCGAGCATCAGTGCGTGGTCCTGAGAGGCTGGAGCAGTGGAGGCCCACGAAGATGTGTGCAGTGGGGGAGCGCTGGTGCAGAGTAGGTTTGGGTGAAGGAGGGAGCATAGGACAGACTGGGCAGGAAGAAAGGAGAGTAAGAAGCTCCAAGGGATGGAAAAGCTGGGATGTGAAGGTGCTGACGAGCTGGCACAGGGTGCCCAGAGAAGCTGTGGCTGCCCCATCCCTGGCAGTGTTCAAGGCCAGGTTGGACACAGGGGCTTGGAGCAAGCTGCTCCAGTGGAAGGGGTCCCTGCCTGTGGCAGGGGGTGCAGCTGGAGGAGATCTAAGGCCCCTCCAGCCCAAGCCAGGCTGTGGTTCTGTGGTTGTGTCTCAGCGGTGGGTGCCAGCACAGGCAGGGTTTGTGCCCCTGCAGCTGGGCAGGGACTCACGGCGCAGCACGGAGCCTCCGGCGCAGCAGGTACTTGATGATGTCGGGGTCTGTCTGGAAGAGCCTCCTGAGGATGTGTTGCTGCATTTCGGGGGACACCTGCCCGGGACACACAGACACGCTCGTGGCACCTCCTCCTCTGCAGGGCAGGGAGGGCAGCGAGGGGACACCAGGCCCATCCCTGCTCACAGACACCCTGTGCTGGGGTGACTTCCCACGCACCACCCAGGCCTGGGCAGGTCTCGGCCCTGCTTTCCCCACACCAGTCCTGCTCCTTTGGCTCCCTGCAGACCTGACTGTTGCTACAAGGCTTTTCTGGGAGCTGAAGTGTCATGTTCCCACAGACCCGCAGGGAGTGGACATTTCTGGTACTTCTTGGGAATTTCCCGGGTCCTTTCCTAAAACCAGGGCCAGGAAGAATGCTCAGTGTATGCTCCTGCTAACCCAGAGAGCTCTGCTGGGGCTTCCAGAGAGCTGCACAGGCCCCATGGGCTGTCCCCAAGGAGAGCAGCCACTTCAGCTACAAGACCACCTGGTGCCCACCTGCACTGCATCCCATGGGGACAGCTTCCCTCTTCCTGGGTCTCCCATTTCTTCCTCTTATTTCCCCCCCTCACTGGGACTTTGGGGGGGGTATCAGTTCAGAGGAGCTGCTCCTGCACTTGCTGTTTCCTGCCCCAAATGAGCTTGGTCAGATGTCACTGGGGTGGAAAGTGACAGAGAGGAGGGGATCTGTTCATGGCACGACTCAGCTCTGCCTTTACAATGCAGTAACAAGCCATCCCAAATTAATATTTACAGCTGCCATGAGGAATGAATCCCGTTTTCACAAGCCAACTGGAGCGGGGCAGTGAATCTATCCTTCCTTCTGCTCCTATTAGAATTGTTCAGAGGGGAAGGACAGGCCTAGAGAAGCTGCCCTGAGGAAGCCACACGTACCATGAACAGGGTCTCGTGATGCTCAATCAGCCTCTGGAGCACCAGTATGACGGCAGCGCTGTCCTCATAGCTCATAGCAGCAGCGTCTTTCTCTCCAGGCCTCTCTTTCTGCAGGATGTTGGGACCAAAGATCGTGGCCAAGTTTGAAACTGTCATTTTATTCCCAGGAATCTGGCAGGCAACCATGAAAGGAAATCACACGCTATAGATGCACCGGCAGGAGAGGTCCCGGGATAGCCTCACCCCCCTGGTCAGGAACATGAGCTGCTGGGTGAGGCTAGGGTGTTAATACGGCTCCAGTTTCGGTCCTCCCTAAGCCCGTGGCAGAGCCAGCCCGGAGAGACCCGCACATCAGAGCCTCCATCCTCACGTCCCCCACTTCCACCACCGCCACCGAAAGACAACACCCCTTTATCCTTATTGTCACCTCCGGGACAAGACCAGCGCCTGCGAGCCACAGACCGGGCTCAGATCGGCAGAGAAACACCCACCCACCCACACACACACACACACAGACACACACACACACACAGACACAGACACACACACACGCACACACACACACACACACAGACAGACACACACAGACACACAGACACACAGACACACACACACACAGACAGACACACACAGACACACAGACACACACACACGCGCACACGCACACACACACACAGACAGACACACACACACACACACACACACACCCTCCACCCCGGAGCGGGGAAACCCGAACCGCGCACACGGACGGAGCCCGCCGGGGCCGCGCAGCCTCACCTCGCGTCCGTCGGGGCGGCGGGAGCCCCGCGCGTGCCGCGCCACCTCGGCCAGCAGGAGCAGGAGCCGCCGCAGGGTGTCGCTGTGGCCCGGCGGCAGCAGGAACAGCAGCAGCTGCAGCGCCCCCAGCTGGGCCGTGCCCGCCATGGCTGCGCACAGAGCGGAGCCCGTCGGTCCTCCGGCCCCGCGGGGACAGGCGGCCGCCGCGGGCAGGGCTGGCTCCCACCGCAGGGGCTGCGGGTGGTACTGCACGGCCCCGCAGTCACTGACTGCCCGCGGGCAGAGGGATGCGTGCAACCCAGGTATCAACAACCAACCCCAAAGCACGGAGGGCAGCATCCGCAAGGGCGTGAGCCAGCAGCGCGTCACTAATCCAGCGGCTCTCAAGCGGATTTGGTGAAGGAGGGTGAGGAAGGATGTGGGAGCCAAGCAGAAGCTGGGCAAAGAAATGGAGCAGAAACCCTCTACAGGCCAGAAAACCTTAAGAGATCAGGCTCAGGTTCCATAATGCAAATTCCATGTCTAGGACTCCAAGTAAAAGACACCAAAGGAAAGCCATTGCAGCCACTTCCAGCCAGGATGCAGTACTGCCCTGCTTTTCATCCCCATTTTCCTGACCTCCCTAAGGATACCCCATGCTGAGATATGCCCAGTCTCATGTCATACTGATCCTGAAGAAGCTCCATGCTGTGTGCCCACAACCAGCAGACACATGTGCAGTCCCATACCTTTGCTCTGGGGTGATTTCAGTAAGAATGTCAGTTGACACTCCTGCTTCACAGCGCAGGTGTGCTCTGTGCTCAGAAAACTGAGCTTGAGGGCAGAAGATTGCTTTGTACCTTCCACTACATCCCTGCACACCCTTGTTCCCACATCATGTGCCCTGTTGCCCCCCTGACATGGCACAGCCTGGTGACAAGCTGCTCATTTCTGATGTGGAAGCAGGGATTCAAGGATCTGGAGAATCAAACCTGAGCAGAGAAGGATGGCAAAAGGAGAACAAGGAGGCGGTGAAGGAGACCAAGGAAGAGCAATTCTGGAAACTGTGGAGACTGCCCAGAAACCCAGTCACCCAGAATGTGGAGGGCAAGGATTTGTCAAGGCACCTTTCAGCAATACAGAGTTGTGCTGGGAGCTGGTAGTGCACCAGGGAATTACTCAGGAAGAAAATTCCCTTTTTGCCCCCTTACAAAAGCAGCAGTGGAGGATGGGCTGGGCAGAGGCTCTGCACTGCCAGTACTCACAGGCTGTGCTGAGGAAGGCTGAGTAGAGCTCTCTGGGAATCAGGGGATCCGGCATGTCTCGAAGAAACTCTTTGAGCAGAGCAGCCACATCGTGAACACTTTGATGCTCATCCAGGAACACGTCCAGTCCTCGGTCAAACTCCTCCCTCAGCTTAAAGATGGGAGAAATGAGAATAAAGCAAAGCCAGGTCTTCCTCTTTATATGAGCCATGCTGTCAGGATCTGTTCCTGTTCAGAGCTACCACAGTGACAAGGGCCTGTAGGGACAGGCCAAGGGGAATGGCTTTAACCTGCCAGAGGGGAGACTGAGATGAGCTCTTAGGCAGAAGCTCTTCCCTGTGAGGGTGCTGAGGCGCTGGCACAGGGTGCCCAGAGAAGCTGTGGCTGCCCCATCCCTGGCAGTGTTCAAGGGCAGGCTGGACACAGGGGCTTGGAGCAAGCTGCTCCAGTGGAAGGGGTCCCTGCCTGTGGCAGGGGTTGGAAATGGAGGAGCTTTAAGCTACCTCTCTCATTCTGGGATTCTGGGATTCATTCCCCACCCACACAAGCATCCACCCCTTGGATGCTGCACCGCCATGGAAGATGCAGTAAATGTCTCTTTACCTGCTGAACTCTTTTCTTGGAGCTCCCGACTCGGAAGATGCCCACAGTGTGGAGCCCTGGGAGACAGAGAAGTGAGTGCTCTGCATCCCCACTGCTGTCCACTACCCTGAGCAGTCCTGGGAGCACCTCAGCATCATGATGTGGTTCTCCTGCACTGTCCATGAGGGGTTGCATCCATCCCACTCCCAGCAGAGGGGGTAAGAAGAAGGGGTTTGGAGCCATAAGATTTTCTGGGGTTGCCTGTGGGTCAGGGAGGAAGCCTCATCTCTATTCACTGTGAGCTACTGAATTTGCAGGGGGAGTTAAGGCCAGAGTACACCAGATCTTAACACCAGGAGATGTGTCACTGATACACCTTCTCAGCCCAGATGCTACACCTAGTCCAAAGGACTCTTCCCAGGTTTTGGGAGCATTCCCTGCCCCAGGAATCAACTCCCTCCTCGCATCCTGGGGAACGGCCAGGGCAGGAATCCCCAGCCCACCATGCAGGATGGGTTTTACGAACCCACTGTGGGACCCATGTACTTACCATGCATCTCAATGTGTTTGCAGCATCTGTCCACGATCCGTGGGACCTGCCAGGTGATGGGGTTGAGGCTCAATACCTTCTTCTTGCCCAGGCTCCTCCCTGGACCCAGCTCATGTGGGTGTGACAACTGCAGAGCCTCCAGCAGCTTGGAGGTGTTGTCACTCAGGTCAGTGATGGAGTCCACGGACATCGCGCCCTGTGATGGAGCAGAGGTGGTTCCACCACTCTGCAGCCTTCAAAGCTTGCAGGAAAGGGAGGCATCACCTCCAAACGGACACAGGGGTCTGCAGAGCCTCTCCGGGGTGTCAAGAGAATATTGCTTCATGTGCACTGCTCCTAGTGCAAGGTGGTTCTGAAAGCCTTGCTACTGCAGCAGACCCTATGCCACAGGCAGACATGAGGAGAGAGGAAAACTGCATGGGGACAGGCTGAGAGAGCTGGGCTGGTTCAGCCTGAAGATGAGAAGGCTCTTTGAGGGGAGACCTTAGAGCAGCTCCAGTGCCTAAAGGGGCTACAGGAAACCTGGAGAGGGGCTTTGGATCTCCTCCTATCCCTGTCTCCCTCTGGAGAAGGTTTTGGCTGGCTGGCCATGTGCTTCTGGTGACATTGGCTCCACAAGGGGCAGTGAAGTGTCCCACCCCTCACAGCCCACCTCTGGGGGGAGCTGGGGCACCCCATGTCCCTGAGGGCAGACAAGACCAGCATGCAGCACCACAGCCATTAAGACCAGACCCTAAGCCACACTGGCTGTGGAGCTCAGCACCCCCAGCCCAGCACCATCACCGCCCAGTTCACTGCATACCCTCCGCTGGCGCCAGGACTCGCTGCTGGGCAGAGCAGGGGGAAGCGGCTCCTTAGGGAGGGCCCCACAGGGCACGAGGCTCCTGCCCATCCTCTGGTGCCTCTGGGCCTGGAATGTCCTCACGGTCGCCTCCACCTCCAGGCAGAGCCGGCGGCTGCTCCTCACCGCCTCCTGCAGCTGCCGGTGCACTCGGTCATTGGCGATGACCTGGGAGAGCGGGATCCCGAAGGTCTGAGGGGAGCAGTCTAGGGCAGAACGTGGGAGCAACAGAGAAGTGTCACCAGCAGGAAAGGAAAGAAGAGGGGGAGCCCAGTGCCAGGGCTGTGTGTGCCTGGGTAGAAGAATGGACCGACAGAGCGAATACCAGGATACTGTGAAGGGAGAGTGGAGAGGACAGCAAATAAAACCAGTTCCATACATGACAAGATCTGTAGCATGAATCCAGGACGAGAGCCCTGAATCAGTGCCCTTGTCCCCTCCTGCTCCCTGCTCCTCCTAAAACTCCCCAGGAGCACCCAGGAAGAATATCCCCAGGGCACGATGTGGTGGGACTCAGGGTGCAGGGCAGGCAGGAGCTGAGCAGGAGGGCACAGAGAGGGAGACAGGGAAGAAGAGGAAGGTGACCCAGGAAAACTGGCCTCCATCCACGGGCTTGCTGCAACCTGTGCCCAGTTTTCCTGAGCTTTCCTTCTTTCAACTGGTTACAGCCTCATAGTGTCTGTGAGGTGGAAGCTTTATAAATCACCAGAAGTATTTGATGCAAAAGATTCTCAACAAGTTCTAACCTCCAGTTCCAGTGTAAGAACCTCGGCTACGTCTGCCCCAGAACTGTCACTGTTGATAGCATTGTCCCCAAATGACTTTTCCAGAGGACTTTGTGCTGGTGTGAGGAAAATCAGTGAATTCCTCAGAAGCAACCTGCTCTAGTGGAAGGTGCCTCTGCCCATGGCAGGGGTGGAACTGGAGGAGCTTTAAGGCCCCTTCAACCCAACCCCGTTCATGATTCCCAACTGGCTGTGCACTTCAGTTCTCCCCAGGTTCATGGCTAACATCCACAGTAAAACAGACCCTGAAGCAGCGAGACCAGGGGTAAAATGAGCAGATAGAAACAGTGATGTGTGTACAGCTTTACAGCTCATGCACACACATCCCTTTCAGATGCTCTCATGCTTCTACATGTATCATTACACCCCTTCTGGAGAACAGCCAACACGGGACATAGCTCTTGCTGAATGTGGGCATCTCCCATCAAAAATCACCAATTCCACTTGCGAGCAGGGACCAGGCATGGGCACAGGGGGGCTGCTCACCCTTCTTCTCCTTCGAGAAGCTCTCCAGCTTCTGGCGGATGGATTTGCTGCCTTTAGGTCTGGCTATGAGGAGAAAAGAAAGCAAAGGTTCTGCATCATTAGGCTGGTTTAGTACCATCTCCCCTTACAGCCATTTGCCTTCCACCCCCTCGCCCCAGAGCATGGCCACAGGCACCTCCCATGGTGGACGGATGGTGTGGGGCTGCTGTGGCCGTGGCTCAGAGGATGCCTGAAGCACCCTGTTTGCCATGGCCCAGAGGATGCTGTTTCAGCCACCTGCAGGAAACAGCCCCAGAGATTGGCACCATCCTTCCTGAGTGAAAGGAAGTGCTACGGCAAGGGGCCCAGATGGGCTCTCACATGTGGAAGAGCAGCAGGAAAACTTCAGCTGCCCAAAGGCTGCAGCTTAATCCTGTTCTGGCCACCTTTCAATTCTGTATGCACCTTGTACATGACTCGGTATTGATGATGATGTTCTAGCAACTGCCTAATGACCCTAGAGGATGCCCTAATTCATCCTCCGAGGCCTGGTCTCCACACTGAAAAAAGGAATCCAGCCCTGGAAAAGCTTTTGGGAATGTCTGACAGAGCACAAGGACAGTTAGACAAAACATCCCACCGGAAACCCATCTGGCCCTGGGGAGGCACGTGCTGCTCCTCAGCATTCCCATGTTGCACATCCAGGGGCAGCAGCCAGCAGCAGTGAACTGAAAACTCATTCACAGCCTCCCTTAAATCCTTCCAGGGCACATTGCCCTATTCTGGCTTGTGCTCATTCCTGTGGAATTCTCTTCTAGAAACAGCCTGTGTAGTTGTTTGGGTTATGGTGTAAGATTTAGAGGCAAGTTATAGCAGTCGGTATGAGCAGCACGTGCATGTCACTACATCAGTCATTCTGCAGCACCGTGTTGTTCCATTCAAATGACCAGACACAGCAGGAAGACAAAGAACAACCCAGAGCTAAGTGAAGGTTGCCCAAAGTCTGGTTCACAGTGAGGGGGCACACACTGTAAACGCTCAGCCTCAAGCTGCCTGGAGACACAAGCATTACAAGAGGTGCTTAACGCCTTTTTGTTAATGAAAATATCAACTGTGCAATGGCTGTTTGTGAAAGGCAGCAGGAATTTTGTGTGGGCAGATGCTGGGGGCAAGCACACAGATGGATGGAGCCAAATGGAGACCATGCAGCCCTAATTCAGGTGCTTCCAAACATCATGAATTTCCCTTTACAATGCTGGGATAGGAAACTGATGCTGCAGGTGCAATAGTTCCACACCTAATCCTCAGCCTCTCACGCTGCCTCGCAGCCAAGGAGAACAATGAGCAGGTAGAAACCTAAAGGCTGTGAAGATGGAGAAAGGGAAGGAGGGATTCCCCGAGAGCAACCGCTTCCTTCAGGAACCAGGTGAGCACAAAGAGCGATGTGCAAAACACACACAAGGATGAGGCAAGGACTGCAATCCCTGCACTTATCCCACAGGAAGAGGAGCTCATTGGACAAAATGCAGCACACTTAAAAGGGAATGCTGGAAGTTTTGCACTGGAGAAGCTGCTGCTGCAGGCTATTGCTGAGAATGGGATCTCACAGCTCAAAATGAGCAGGATGTTTGTGGTCTGAGTCCCCAGGGACTCGAAGGCAGAGTGGTCACTGGTGCTGCAGCCCTGGAGCAACTGAGAGCTCTGGGAATGAGAGGGGAGCATCTCCTGCCCTACTGGGACGGCAAAACACAGCCTGGGGCAGAGGAGGCGTTTCAAGGTGTTCTGTCCACTTGAGTAAGGAGTGAACCTGGCAAGGAGTCAGTTATTCCCCCACTCACTGTCCTTGCCTGGTTAATGTGTAGATGGCAGCTACAGGAACCCAGACCGTGCCTCTGTCTATGTAGGCCAGTTCAGAGGAGCTCAGTCCCTCTGGAGCTTCTATATTTATCTGTCCATTAATTTCAGTATCATGTCTTTAGCCTTGCATAAACCCCATTCCAGCATCAGGACTTTGGGCTGAACATCAATCCAAGAAGCAAAGCTTATCCCATCTCAGGGGCATTAAGACAGTCCCAGTGGAAGACCTTGCCAAGGCATTCTGCATCTGGTTTGGATTAGGGGTTCAGAGGCAGACAACAGGCAAGGTCACATTCTCACACTCCTATGGACACACAAACCCTCCTCAAGAGGCTGATGAGGTCTTTAACGCTCAAACCAAAGCAGGGGAAAAAATATAAAATGGACCAAAATGTGACACAAAAGCCTTTCCATAAACATTTCTTGTTAGGAAGAGCGGGAATGGGGACGAGCAGCACGAATGGCTCAGAGTTCCCCTCCCTCAGCGGTAGCCGTCCTCACCCACTCCCTACCTTTAGCCAGGCTCAGATCTCCCAGGAGCAGCTTCTCCTGCAGCTGGTACAGGGCAATCTCTTGCAGACTGGCTCTCTCCAGCTCCGAAAGGCTGTGCAGGGGCACAGGCTGCATGTCCGTGCTTTGCCCTGGTAGCAGAGCAGGGATGAAGGGCTCTGAAAGGCATAGATAAAGACAGGAGAGTGAGGAGCACAGGGCAGAAACTGGAGGAGCTGGAGCAGGACAGGAGGAGCTGCTGGGAGCGCTGCAAGGTGTCTGCACATGCAGGGGATGTGGAGACAGCCCTCAGCTGCTGATGGCTTTTGGGTGTGTGGATGCTATACCCAGAGCTCCCACTCTGCAGAGGTGGGTGTAGGGGTTTCCTCTGAAGGGAGCTTCAGGATTTAAGTCATAAAACACTACTAAAGCCTACAAAGCAGCTCACATCCCCCCAGGCCACACTCATTCCCCTTTCCCCACAAGCTCCTCTCTGCCTTTCCCCTCACTTTACATCGGTTTGTTTCTTAGCTTAACACTTGGCACTGAGCCTCATGTCCTGTAAATGAGAGCAGCGCCGCCCCAGCACCTGCACCCCCAGCACAGAGCTGGGTGCTGCCCCAGCCCTGCACCGGCCTGGGCACCCACGAACCCACCACTGCCCAAAGGGCAAAGAGCAGCAGTGAAGAGGAGCAAGGGCTGCGGTTACAGCGCGGGCACAGGAAGATGCGGTCAGAGCAGAGGCTTCTGAAGAAGCCTTCCCACAGACGGCTTCAAGGCAAAAATAAATACCTGGAAATCACCAACCGGGAGCCCATCACCACGACACGATTAAAACTGGGTCTGTTGGTGCCCACGACTGCCTCACACACTGGACTTGGGGTAACTCATCCCGTTAGAACTGGTGTGATCCTGCTTTCACGGCAGCTACGATAGTCAGCAGACGAAGCACCAGACTTGACCGAGTCTGAAGCTCAGGGGCTACGTTACCAAAGGGTTGGGAGTCATGATACCCAGTTACATTTCAGGCGGGGCACAGCCCATGCAGGTATTTGTGTTGGCTTAAAAAGGGGCTTTTTCATCATTAAACAGCACCAGGGGCTGTCCTTTAGGCTCCCCAGGTTGCTTTGGCCATCCCTCAGCCTTCTCCCTCCCAGGGCAAGTTCAGCCAGCAGCTGTGGGTGCCAGGCACAGCCTTCCCTAATTTTAACCCCCTGGACAGAAATCTGTGGAAGCAGCAGCCCTTTAGGAATGGATTTTATTGTCTCAACAGGGCTACATGGAAGAGGTCAGTCTTTAACTAACGGGTCTAGCCAAGCTTTGCAAGCAAAGATCCTGGAACATGAGCTGCCCTGGGAGAGCTGGGGGCACAGGTAAAACATCGGCTGTGACAGAGAAGAACGTCTCCACTAGCCTGCAATAGCTCCTGTTCCTGCCACACCAGGAATGAGGGAGAGCAGCAGCAGCGCCGAGCAGCAGCCTCAAGGCAGGGAGGGAGCAGCTCGGCCACCAGCAGGTGATGCAGTTGGACAGACAAACCCCGGGACAGATACACGGAAGGGAATTACCTTGCTGCAAGTGACCATCACAGCTTGGGCAGACCCACAGGCACAGCCCAGCCTGAGATGGGATGGTCAGAGTGGGGTCAGGGAGGATGCAGAGTCAGGGAGAATGCAGCTGCCGTGGGGCAAGGAGGAGAAACCCCTATTAGGAGAGGGAGCAGAACAGAGAGAAAGCAGGAAGGAGAAGACAGGGCAGATAAGCTGCTGCTTATCTGCCACTACCCAAGCATAAAACACTCTGAGAATAGCCCTGGGCCACTATCTCCTGCTGTCTGATGAACTCACACTTCAACTGTTTACCCCAAAACCCTGCCCTTACTGCTTGACACAAGTGTGACAACCACCAGCCTGGCTGGCAGCTCCGTGGCTGCCCCTGCCCCGAGGTGGGTGATGCCCCACGGAGCCCAGGTGGGCAGAATTCGCTCCAGCCTGGGCAGGCACTGGGGCTCCAGCAAGGAGCAGAACCAGAGTACGGCAAATCCCCTTCAGTGGGGGCTGCCGGAGGAGTCTCACTAACTCGAGAATAGGAACGAACTGCCTCTCACGGTGAGTGTTAACATGGCATTGGCAGTGCTAACATGGCATTGGCAGTGCCAACATGGCATTGGCAGTGCTAACATGGCATTGGCAGTGCTAACATGGCACTTCCTCTCTGCAATGACTTCCCCTGCTTATTTTTAGGACTAGGGCTTATTTAAGGGAATCTCATGGGAAAAGCTCAGCTCAGCGGCCCCTTCCATTCCCAAGGAGCTGCAGTTGCTCCCCATTTTCAGCAGCAGTAGGATGGAGCAGAGGGATGAGGTTTACCTTCCATGCAGGAGCAGCAGCACCCTGGGCCCCTTCTCTGCTTCCAGCGATGGGTTTCCAAGCAGCGGTCCTACAGCCTGCAGGGGAATGTTCCTGGTGCCGGCAGGAGAAGAGGAGCCGGGAGGAGCCGCTGCAGCTGAGCCAAGGGGAGGAGAGGGGTGATGAGAATGTGGGTTCCTGCCAAAACAGAGCAAGCCCGAAGCAGTGTGGAGTGGGAGGGCGGGGGCAGAGGGAAGGATCAGCACTTCCCACGCCTGACAGTGTCTGCGCCTTGGCAGGGATCCATGATTGCTCAATCCATCCCATGTCTTCCCCACTCTTCCCTGTCAGACCAGGGCACCCAGGAAGCATCTGCTGCTCTGGCAGATGAGACCTGAAAGGGAAATCAGCCAAAGAGGGCCAATGGATGGTTTCCACCTTGGCTGCTCCTTCACAGCTGTCACAGTGACCAAACCCCTGCTGCAGGCAGGCAGGGCCTCCAGACACCACCCTCCACATCCACCACAGCTCCAAGGACCACAGGGCCCTGCAAAGCTCCAGCACTGACAAGCTCACAGCTAGACGTGCTGCACATGTGGGCTACAGACCCCAGAGAGCCTTGCATGTACAGCAACCTGCTTCCCTCAGTACAAGCATGGGAAACCCTTCACAGGCTGCTCCAGAGCTTGCATTTTCCCTGCGTACCCATCCTTGTCACAAAGTATGAGCTGGTGCAGCTGTGCTGCACAAGGTGTCAACCCCAAATACTGCCACCAGCAGCAAACTCCATCTGCTCGGAAGGAAGTGGTGGGGGATCATGGACCTCCAGTTCGCTGCCTGTTGAGTCAAAGAGACTGGAGAGGAAGCAGGAGTGTTGTGCAGCTGTTTGCTGGCCTGACATTTATGAATCCTTTTGGAATTTACTACAAGGACAGTGGAGCTCCATGCTGACAGAAACAAGGATGGCGCACCGCCCTCCCCAGGGCCAGCAATGCAAGCTGGGTGAGAAAAAAGAAAGAAACAGGACCAAGATTTGCCTATAAAAACATTTATTTCTCAAAAATACAAGTTCCCCGCAGTCACACAACCATTGAGCATGTTGCTTTAGATGGGCTTTCACCTGCTTTTCATAGAGCAAGCCTTGGGTGCCAGAGCAGGGACGACGGGACGGGTTCCCTTCACCCATTCCTGCTGCCTGCACATGGAGCACTGCTTGGGGCCCTCACCTGCAGCTCCAGCTCCAGGAGGTGTCTGCTGCTATCCCAGAGCTCTCTCTGGAGACAGAGGAGGTTTGGTACCTGCAACAGCATCCCATTTGCCTCCTCACCATCCAGGGCACCCATTTGCAGCACAGACTTCTCCTGGTGGCCAAGAGCACATAAGATGTCAGGGAAACCCCAGTCCCTCCCATGGACCTGGGTGGAGAAAGCCTGGAGACAGGAAGCAGCAGGTCCCCAGCCCCATTCAGCCTCACTTGCTCTTACAGCATGGAGCCATCACTCCACAGGTCCCAGCTCCTGCTTCCCCACTGAACAACTGCCTGGTCCACATGAAATGGCAGAACCAGGCCCCAGGACAGCTCTTGCTCGCCAAGGTGGCCTGTCCAAATCCCATGTCCTCCCTGCATCCAACATGCTGGAGGAATGAAACCCAACGAGCCCTTCTGCTGCATTGCTTCCACACTGCAGGGTAAATCCAGCCACTGTGCCCGGCTCATCCAGCTGATGCCTTCTGGCTGCAGCATCAAGAACAAGCCCCAGGTCCTGGGCGCTCTGCCCACTGCCTCTAACAGTCCTATTTTCTCAAGTTCCTTCCCTGATTTTCCTCAGGGAAGGTCCGTGCTGAACACAGACTGCCTTGTCCTCTGACACCTGAAGGGATGGGGGCAGTGGTGACAGGTTCCAGCACAGCACAGCAGGCATGTCTTCTCCATGATGACCCCACCAGGTCCCACCTACAACAGGCACAAGGCTCTGCATGTGGAACCAACAATAATGAGGACATGGCTGGAGGAGTCACCGAGGTTAAGTCAGCCTATGTCCTGTCAAAACTACTTCCATGAGGAGAAAAGACGGGTCACGGTCACAGAACTCTTCTGAGGGGAGCAGAAAGGCCCACCATGCACAGCTGACCCACTTCTCAGGGAGCTCGGCTGCCTCCCTGGGGTCTGGGCTAAAGATGTGAAGAAGCAGCCTCCCACCCTGGCACAGCCCTCACTTATCCACTATTGACTTGTCAGGTAGGCAGGGATGAAGTTCAGCAAGAAGTCCAAGGGCAACCGAGAGAGACTTCAGGGCCTTGGGACAAGTGGTTAAAGGCATCAGGAACACAAGCAATATTCTCTGTCAGGGAATGATGAGGGGAGAAATGGGAAGGGCCAATGTATCAATACCTAGCTCCAAGCCTGGTGTCACCAGTAGAATGTGGGGTCTTTTGGTTATGGGTCAGTCAAACCAGCATCAGACCTGCTGTCTCTAAGGGGGAAAAGGCTCTTCATGCAGGAGTTAGCAGGGCTCAGAGATCTGAAGGGGGAAAGGGATAAATCCAGGCTGGCTGGAGGTGACCCTGGGGCAGCATGCCAGTGTTTGAGGGATGGGTGCCAGCAGGGTCCGTATTTACAGACTGGCTCTGCAATGCACAGACCACCAGTGGCACAGCCAGAATCACACCCGGCTCTTGCAGACATGGCCTCCACCTCTGCATACCCATTAAACCATCAGCAGGGAAAATGGTGTGAAAAAGAAGCAGTTGTTTGGCTTAGAGAACTTGGAGCCACTTAAATCTGTTTAAACATACCTCAGGTTTTAATCGTAGAAATGTCTAAAAAAATGCCTTTTTTTTGTCTCCTTTGGTGGTTCTAGAAGCCAGAAAATGCCTCTTTGCTGTTGCTTCAGGACAGTCTATGGCTGTTCCTCCCAGTAAAAAGAAGGTACAGGGTGAGAAATTTGGGTACACAGAACACATACAACATTGGCAAAACAGAACAGTCACCACGTTGTGCTTTGGAACATCAGACATGAGCTTCTTTCACCAAATATATTGAACAGCACTTGCCTGTGAACAAATAACTGATCAAAGAGGCTACAGAACTTGAAGGTTCTTCCAGTGCTGCTCTGGACTTAGAGCTTCACTTCCACTTCCCAGCACCTGAGCCCACGGGTGTGCAGGAGTCAGCATGAACAGAGATCAGAGACATCCCTTGGCACATGTCTCCCACTGTTGGTTGCATCACTAAGTCAAAGCTCAAGTCATTTTCAAGCCATCAAAGCCACAAAACTTCCACCTTTTCTCCAGGCTGGCTCCAACACCACTCAGCTCCTGCCTGAACGTGTTCTGGAGGCGAGTCATGAGAACTTCCACTTCTGCAGTGCAGATCTGTGAAATCAGAAGGAAAATGGCACTAAGAATGAAGATCCTTTTGGTTTTGGAAGCCCTGCAATGACTGGTGGTGACACTCAAGCTCAAACATTGCTACAGGCTTTTCCTAGACATCCTGTCCAAATCCTCATGCGGATAATCAAATGGGGATAAGCGTGACAGCTGTGCTACGGCCACACTTCAGGGTGAGATGGCTGCAGATGTAACACACACTAGAAATAAGGGTAAACATGCTCCATCCCTGGCAGTGTTCAAGGCCAGGTTGGACAAAGCCTTAAGTGGCATGGTTTAGTGGGAGGTGTCCCTGCCCATGGCAGGGGGGTTGGAACTGAATGATCTTAAGGCCCTTTCCAACCCTAACTATTCTATGATTCTATAAGAGGACTATCCTAATTCTTTCCACTGTGAAATGCAAGGTAAAGGACTAAAAATTCCCAAGTATTTAAGTAACTGAAGAGTGAGCACTTTTATCTGCTTCGAGAACAGAGCTCTCAGTGACTGGGTACAGAAATCAGGGATATGGGATTTGCACTTTGTGAACAAAGAGACCTGAGCAGGCAGCAGACCAGTGTGTGTGGCCAAGGGTCAGCAGTGAACCAGGCCAAGGCCACTGCAGAGGGTCAAGGATGTGCCTTTCACAGGGCTCCTGCTGCTAAGCTCATTGTAGAAACTTCCCGTGGGCTTTTTCTAAGCGGTAGGTTCCCAAGAGGAAGTGCTACAAGTCAGATGAAGGGTTTGAGGGCATTTCAGCAGCCCCAAATTAAACCAAGAGCAGCTCTTTGCCTCAGACAACTTCTGAAGTAGAAGGAGATGAATTAGGAACTATGTCTCTGAAGGGCTGGAGGGAGCCGGGAAGCACAGGCCAGCTTCCCCAGGACAGGGAAATGAGACAGCAAGCTAGAAACAAAGCAGCTGAAGACATTCCAAGCACAAGAGCTGATTCCCATGCTGGGAACTTTAAGGAAGACAACTGAAGAACAGTATTTCAGAAGAACAAGGTGCAATTTCCTCAAGCATTCAAAAGCCTTTGCCCAGTCCCTCCCTGTTTCCTTTGAAAAGGAGCCTGAAGCCAGTGATGCACAGAAATACTGCAGGGAACAGCAGCTTTGTGTTGTGCTAGGCAAAATCCATGAGCTTGTTATAGCCCTTCTCAACTCCTGCACCCAGGAGCTGATCTCTCCACTTAGTACAGAGCCCCGTGAGCAGGGACTCAGTTCAGTGCTTCCACTTCTGTAGTGTAAGGCCCTTGCACAGCACCCTCCTAAAAATAACTGCACTGACAGCATCAGAACAGTCAGCCAAGGCCCAGTGAAAGGCTACAGGAGCAGAAATAGGGAAAAACATTGCTCAGAGACGTAAAACCAATATGACTGCTCAGTTTACAGAGGATATACATAAACAGTGGCATGGCAGATGTTATAAACATTATGCAAAGCCGGGTTATTTGCTCTTTTCCTTAGAGGTCATAAAGCTAAGGGAACAAAGGCAGCAAACTTACACAGAATAAACAGACATTTTGGACAGAGATTTTAAAGACGGAATTCACTGCTGCAAAATGCAGCTACCATCAACGGGCTTTCCTCTGAGCAGGGACATCTGCAGTGAGAACACCATCTTCAGCTCCGCACTGAGGTTAACACTAAGCTGCGTGAGGGCTAAACCAGAAGCTGGGGTGCTTTGAGCAACCTGCTCCAGTGGAAGGTGTCCCTGCCCACAGCAAAGGGTGGGCTAGATCTTCAGAAGTCCTTCCCAACCCAAACCCTTCTGGGGTTCTAAGTTCACCCCCTCCCCTGTCCTCTGGTAACAAGTCACTGCCATTAGCAGACACCAGTTCTCACTAACCCTGCAGCGTTCCCAGGGAGTGAAACTCTTTCCCAGCCACAGGGACTGGACACACTGCCCAGGCTGGCTGGGGAGCTGGAAGTGTCAGCACACCCACCTTGCTGTCCAGGCGCTGCAGGTAGGAGCAGATGTACTCAATGCTTGCTCCAAACGGGTGCACGTGAAGAAACGTTGAAATTATTCCTGGGGAAAGGAACACCACAAATGTCATTCTCATGGCATCCTCCCCCTCTGCCTGCTCTAGGGAGACCCCTCCTGCAGTCCTGACCCAGGTCTGGGGCAATACCACCACAGGGATGTGGAGCTGTTGAAGCGAGTCCAGAGGAGGCCACGGAGATGCTGCAAGGGCTGGAGCAGCTCTGCTCTGGAGCCAGGCTGAGAGAGCTGGGCTGGGTCAGCTGGAGAAGAGAAGGCTCCTGAAGGGGAGACCTTAGAGCAGCTCCAGTGCCTAAAGGAGCTACAGGAAACCTGGAGAAGGGCTTTGGACAAGGGCCTGTAGGGACAGGACAAGGAGAATGGCTTTAACCTGCCCGAGGGGAGACTGAGATGAGACCTTAGGCAGAAGCTCTTCCCTGTGGAGGTGGTGAGACAGACCCTCCTCTGTAAGTTACTGTCTTCAGTGACACCTCCCAGAAGAGCAACCTGCACTCCAGTCCCTGCTGACCTGAGCTGTCACTCCACACAAGCAGTGACTACATACTTCATACCTGTGTGGGTTTGACTGAAAGGTGCACAGCACAGGATCGTCACGGGAGGAATGCACAAGGTGAAACCCTGACCCACCAAAGCTCGAGGCTTTCTTTGCTTCCAGGACTCCCAGCTCCCCTGGCATAACCACAGGAACAAGCGGTGGCCAGATGGAGCTGCAAGGCCACCTTGAAGTAAGTCCCATCCCGTTCAGATCTCCAGCATCATCACCAACACAACTCACCAACCAACAGGACTTCTCGTTCAGATTTCACAGGGCTGTTGCTCAACGTCTTCTCCACTGGAGAGTCCTTTTCCTGGCTGCACACACAAACCCTGGATGCGCTGCTTTCCTGCAAGGAACCCCGTTCCACACTCAGCAGGCACTTACACATTAACCAGCAGCCTGGTCAGCCACAACAGAGCCTGTGTTCTTGTTCCCCTGTTTGAGTTACTGTATTCACCACAGTGCTGTATGGACTGCTTATTTTGCCAAACGCTTCCAGCACAGCACAGCTATGGTCATGCTCTGCCTGAACTGCCTGAATCAAGCTAAGTTAAGAGTAAAAGCCCATGAAGTTAAGCAAGATGCCACAACACACACTATCAGCCCTGTTTGCTGATAGTGTCTCCTCTAGAAGGGCCCTACTTTAAACAGTAAAAGAAAAACAGGCTAGAAAGCAAGCCCTGCAGTGACCAAGGCAGAGCAGATGTTTATTTTTCAGATGCCTGAACTGAAGCAATATGATTGATATCAAGTGCCCAGTGGCTGCCAAGGGCTCAGGATCAGACTGTCCTGGACTCCAGTTTGTGGTACTGAGCTGAAAGGGAATTTCACATCATTTATTATCCTACCAACAAACACCGTCTGGCAGCAATGCAAAGCCCTGGCAAACACTCCTTTTTTCCTAACGGAAGAAGCAGGACTCCCTTTTATACCTAAGCTTGATTAAGAATTCCAGTGGTCTGAGAGCTACAGACAGCTATAATTGGAAACAGCCTCCAGACACTAGCAAAACACTGAGCTTGGGCCAGTAACAAAGGCAGAATTAAACAGTCCCTTGAGTTTGCTTCGCTTCTTATGCCAGTGCAATTCTCAACTGTACAGGACTGAAGCTGTGCATCCCTGGCCTGAGCAGGCTGTAATCTGCTTCTACAGGAGAAAGTCTGTGATGTGGAAATGGAGCTGGCTTCAGGCTGGCACAGGGGCTTCAGAGTGTCACATTGGAAATACCTGCTCTCACTTGGAGATCCAAAAGGTGTTGTTGCAGGCTAGTTGAAATAACAGTGCAATTATCTTGTACACGGAACCCCATTTCTACACCACAGTGCTGCAAATACCTGCTGTGCTTTCAGTCAGAAGCTGTTAGCATTGAGTAATTCAACTATTTCAACTTGTACATAAACACAGTCCATATGCACAACACACACTTCACAACAAACTGCAGAACACTGCTCATTTCACAATAAGGTGTCATGACTTCCTCAGTAAGGTATTCTGACCCAAGTACCAGAAAAGAAACTCTCAGACTTACATTCCCTTGACAATCAGTTGCATCTCTCTCCTTGTCCTCTTCATCTGCGATGCTTTGCTACACAGAAGTAAAGAAAAAACATTACTGATGATAGTCTTTGGTATCAGACACTGAAGCTCCTGCACCAAAGATCTCTGGGATACAAAGCCAATTTTAGTTACTAGACATTTACCTTCCCTAACTCATGG